CACCTGCGACTACACGAGGCCAGAAAAGACAAAAAGATTGGGCGCCACAGCAAAACAGCAAAAAGGGCCTTACGGATCAGTCTGAGCTAGTGCCTGGTCTGAGCCGTGCAGGAACCCGAACGAAAACGGAAAGCATCCACCGCCAGTGAATCGCGACGTGCCAAAAGGGGAAAAAAAAAGGAAAATGTCTGAGCGAATCACATTGCTAAGCCCGTACATTTTCTTTGAGGCTAATTCGAGCTCTTCACCTGCATCTACACAAAGCCAGAAAAGACAAAAAGATCGGGTGGCAAAGGAAAACAGCAAAAACGGCCCTACGGATCGAGAGGTTACGCCTCAATGTTTGCTGATTCGAACTAACACCTGCTAATTGCCCTTCCCCACCTGTCCGCAAGCTGCAACGCTTTTTTTTTCCTGCAGCTTTTCATTGGGCCCGCCCGTCATCCCTATATTCGCCCAAGACAAGGGAGCCGGGTCTCGCGTGGGAGCATCACACGGGACACGTGATTTCCTTTAAGATTACAAGTGGGCCCGCTGCAGTGATGCTGCGGCCCAGCAGAGGGGATGAGAGAAGACGATGGAGGAGAGGCGAAGGGGGAAATGGAGGGGAGGAGGGCGGTAAAGAGAAAGAGGGGGATTGTGTGTAGCTGAGGGCATGGAAAAGAAAACAACCATGCTACGCCCGCGGCGCACCTCTTCCTGCTCCCCATCTCTCTCTAAAAAAAAAAAGAAAAAAGAAAAAGAACGCTCGACGTCTGCCCCTCCTCCTGTTCCTCCTTCTACTCTGCCCCTTCCCGTTCCTCCTACTCTGCCCCTTCCTGGCATTCCTCCTTCTACTCTGCCCCTCCTCCTCCCATTCCTCCTACTCATTTGCTCCCGCTCTTCCTCCTCCCATTCCTCCTCACACCCGTTATCTTCCCCACCTCGTCGTGCTCGTCCTCCCGCAAACTCTCCCGTTCGTGGTCCACCTTCTCCCGCTCATCGCCTTCCCCCTTCTCCTTGCATTCCTCCTCGTGGTTGATTGCTCTCCCCTCCTCCTTCCCCTCCTCCTCCCCTCGTCATCCCGGCCCTCCTCATAGCGCTCCTCCTCCTGCCACTCTTCCTCCCATTCATTGTCCACCTCCTCCCACTTGTCGTCTTCCCCCTCCTCCTTGCACTCCTCGTGCCACTCGTTCTCCTCCAGTTCGTTGTCCTCCCCTGCCTCCTCTTTCCATCCTCCCGCTCGTCATCCTGCCCCTCCTCCTCCTGCTCCTCCTCCTGTGCAAAATGGAATGAATCTTCCGCTGGAGTCTGAACACGGGACCTTGAAATGAAATACCTGTGTACTTACCTGTTGATGTACTATAGGGTGAGCATTGACTGTGCCTGTGGAGTGCCTTAGCGTTGCTGCTGGAGTTTGAACCCGGGACCTTGACGTGACGTACCTCCGTACTTACCTGTTGATGAACTGTAGGGTGAGTGTTGACTGTGCTGTGGAGCCTTGAACCCGAGACCTGTTCTTGTGTGTGCATAAAGTCAATGCTTGGTACCATGCATTCGGTAAGTGTGCCTCCAGCAAGTATCCAGAGGGTTCCGGGGGCAACGGGGGAAGTGCCCCCGTGAAACACAACTACATAATTCATTTCTGCAGGCCCATTCATTCAGTGTGGTGCTGGTTCGTGAAATCAAGCAGTGCGTTGTGTGGTGAAGACGGCAGCCATAGCTGAAGTAGTAGGGCAATCGTGTTGCCATCTTGTAGCTGTTGTTTCTGTTCCTTTTCAGACTGGAATCGCGCTGTTGCGTCGAGCGCCCGTAGGAGAGAGCTTTCACTTGATGGAGAGTGAGCCCATCGAGTAGGAGCATCACTTCAACGTTCAGTGAGAGATCCTAGGAGAGAGCAAGAGGAGAGGATACATGCTTTAGTAAAGTCTGCAATATACATAGTAATAGTATAAAAAATATACAAAAAACCTGGGTTACCAGCCAGGCCGCCACAAGGAAAACCCCACGAGCAAGGAGTACATAGGATAGTCGTCCATGGTGTTGGGTGCACAACCAAGTGACAGTTCCACTCCTCACCACTTATTATCTTGTAACCGACTGACTATCTGATTCTCAAGGGACTACAGAGTCCTCCCCGTTGTTCCAGCCAGGTTACCACAGCCGGCGGAAGCTTTCGCCACCTCTGTCACCAAAACTTTCCACGATCCGAGTGCTACTTGCACCTGCGATCAAACCCACCTGGCTTTCACTTTGGATCTGAAATCTGTCTGAAATCTGTCAGCTATGGTCTCTAGCCTAATATACTCTAAGGCTGTCACTACAAGACTCTGTTGCTGATCAGGAGGCATTTAAGGAAATCTCCCATAACTCCCCAATAATTCTTTAACATCGCAGACAGGACGACGCGATCAGCAGAGTCTCCTCAAGACTTAGAACAGCCCACAGCTAGGAGTTCAGGCCTACCATGCCACATGTTTTCCCGGGAGGTGTCAGTCGTCAGACATGGCCTTTAGCCCTACTAAGACCCGTAAGGGTTTGTTCACCACAGCTCTACGACCTCATACACAGAGTCCTATCGACCTGGACAGAAGTGACTCAATGCAGAAAGAAGAGACAGACTGACTCAGCAAGTACCAAGGGTATGTGCACATCCACAGGGCGAGGGGGCAGGTTTAAGGCTTAGCGAGATTATACAAACCCCAGCTTGGTCAAAGTCGCGGTCAACGGTCTTGGTCAACGCTGGTCAACATCTGGTCAACACCAATCAATGCTTGGTCAACACCGGTCAAACTTGGTCAACGCCGGTTAACTTCATCTCGGTCAACCCTTTGGCCTCCTGGCTATGGCCGCTGACCTTTCTTCTTCGTCGACCTCTCGTCTTCTTCCCCCTTTCTTCTTCTTCGCCCAACCTCGGCTATGGCTTCCTTCTTTCTCCTTCTTCTCTCCTTCCTCCTCCTTTCTCCTTCGTCTCTCCTTCCTCCTCCTTCCTCCTTCTCAACTTCTTCGTCACTTCCGGTCTTCGTCTTCTTCGTCAGGTCCGAGCTCGACGACTATAGCCGCCACTTCTTTGTTGCTGCCAACCAATCTTTTCTCTCTCTCTCTCTCTCTCTCTCTCTCTCTCTCTCTCTCTCTCTCTCTCTTCTCTTCTTCTTCGTCGTCTTCCTTCCCAGCACGGCGGCCTTCTTCCTCAGCCTCCTCGACGCGGCGGATCAAACGCGTGCGCGCGCACTGATGTGGCGCAATAGCGCGGCATGATGGCCAGGACGGGCAGCGATCAGCGAGGCACGCGAAATAGCAGTGGCGCGCAACAGGCAGCGAGGCGCGCACAATAATCGAGCAGCGCGAACGTGGCGCTCAGCGTGGCGAGCAGCGGTGACATGGCGATGGCGTGGCGCGCCCCTCCTCTTCAACAACGATGCGAGCAGCGCTGACGTGGTGATAGCGTGGAGCGCCCCTCCTCCTCTCGTGCATGATGATGATTATAACGACAGCGATGGCGATTGCGATGACGATGATGATGGCCATCTCGGCGGCGGAGGAACAGTGGGAACCAGCTCTGATACCAGTGCAACCAGACTCATGTTGCATGTATGTGGATGTCGATGGCAAAACAACTTCCGCAAAGCAGATTCAGCAACACACTGGATATGACGCCAAGCACCCACACAGAAAACTCAGAAATATGGCCTTTGGCCAGGAACTCAGTTCAAGACAACTTGTCACGAAGCGCAGCTATGGCGTCTGAGCACCAGTCTGAATTCCCATCCGAACACTGTATCCACCATCGGACATACTCACACACACATACACACACACTAGGACCTACCCTGGATGTCCCGCACACACACACAGACACTCACGCTATGCTAACCTACGTGGCAGCTGTGACTACCGTCTTCTTCCTCCTGCTAACTACCTCGCGGCTATGGCCGCATCTTCCTCCTCTTAGCCCTCTCCTTCCTCGGGCACCTGCAGACCTCCGTACACAAGTCACAAAGGCAGCGCTTCCGCACGCTCACAGGCAGAATGAATGAATCACTTGAAGCTGCCTCTTTATTTATACTTCGGACCGTCGTAGGTCTGCCCCTTGACCCTGGGCTTGGGGGTGTGCACAGTCCCACATAGTTGGTACTTGCTGACTAGACAAGGTGCACCCTGGGACTGGGTACCCCTGACTGGACTAAGTAGGACTGCCCTCCGCTGACTCACCTACGGACTGACCCCTACGACCTGCAAGCGCCAGTTCTAGAACTTCCGGAAGGTCGTGGACTTGACCTTTCGGAACTGTTGCAGCTACGACCTATACTACCCCTACGACTACGAAAACTAGACCTACGGTTCAAGTCCTGACTAATGGACGACTGTCAGAACACAGGTCGTGAGTTCAAACACACACGGGTCAACGGGTACTGTACACGGGTGAAGAGGAGGTCTAGGGATCGAGCCCTGGGTACTGCATCTGCTATCGAAATAGGTGAAAACCGTTTCAAGGCAGTCCTCTTTGACGATATATAGCCGCACATGTCGATTTTCAAACTGTTTGTCCCCGCCCAGCCCACACTTCAGCCAGATTCATCAACGTGGCAAGCCTTGTAAGTGAGAGGCACAGTTAAGAGGGAGCTGAAAGAAGAAGTGATCAAAAGAACAGTTCCAGAGTTCTCTTCATGCTTGTCTTGTGTAATTTTATCGTTTATTTCACAAAGTGCACTCTTTTAGTTGATAGATATGTGAAACAGCATATACAGAAAGAGAGAGCGGTGCACAGAGAGAGAGAGAGAGAGAGAGAGAGAGAGAGAGAGAGAGAGAGAGAGAGAGAGAGAGATGAAAGCAAGTGGCGGGAAGATTAAGTGAGCAAACATGCATAACTCATCATGTTGAACACGTGTGAACTACAGTCTTTCCCCGAACACAACACACCCTGATCATGGAATCTATACAAGCTATATTTCCAGTCCAACACGCTGATGACGAAGTTGTGTTGTGTTCTGGGGAAAAGAAATGCACACGAAAATTCTTACCGCAAGAGTAGCCACCGTAAGAGAAGGGCTCAGCAGTACCATACGTGCAATCACGACCACAAGTTGCACGACGCTTGGGACAAAACGCTGCAGAGGACCACCACAAATTCAACCAAGATCTTGCCAATAAGATTTTAACATGCACGACTGCACAGACCACAAGGCTCCACAAACTACAAGACTGCACAAACCACAAAGACTGCAGAACCCACAAGACACCACAGCCCACAAAGACTGTCCAAACCACAAGGCCCCTTATTACATTACTCCAGGTAGGTAGTGCTTTATTCCTTGATAGTTTTGTTTTTTGAAGTTTGAAACCTCCCAGGTCTGTTGTGGATGCTAAATGCCTACATCTACTACTGTCTTGCCCCCAAATAGAACGCACGGTCATTATTGCTGTATCTAGACTGAAAGTTGCCCCAAATAAAGTTATGATGACCATGTTCTATGTTGCCCCAAACACTAACTGTGGTGTACAGAATTCTAGCCAAACTTCTAGCCACAAGAATAAACCGCACATCACAGGCAGCTGCTTCCCACCTAGACCAGACAGGTTTTATTTCAGGCAGATTCATTCTAGCTAATGTGACGACCCTATGTGAATCCACAAAGATAATAAGCAAAACAAGTGGATGTGCCATGCATCCAAGGGCAGTTCACGCATTAGTACGCTCATTGCCATGTCCATTGATCGTCTGCCCAACCCCCTTCCGTTCTCTCTCGCTCTCCCTCTGTGTGTGTGTGTGTGTGTGTGTGTGCGCATGGGAGCGGGTCCAGAAGCTGCGTGAAAAGGGGGTGTGCCAAGGATTTTAGGAAAGTGGGGTGGAGTCCCAGGTGAGAACTGGGATCTCCGGTGTCAGAGTTCCAGGGACAAAAATGCAAAGGGGGTGGGCAATCAGGAGCTCTTTCAGTTCGCAGTTTCCATGGCCGGGTTCTCAGTTTGGCCGGGTTCTGTTTTCAGGACGGGCCCGTATGAGATGTACAGGAGGGACACAATGTATGTCTCGCTCTTCGAAAACAAAGCGCCTACGAAGTTCACAGATCTCAGAGTCCACGTGGACGGCCTTAGCCGAAGGCTGTGCTCCCGGTGCTCAACCTCGGTAGGAGTTCGCCGAACAAAGCCTGACGTGCAGTAGACATAATCACGTCTGCACTCAAAACACAACGTTCGCGGCCAGTAAGGGGCCAATACGTTCCAGGGAATGACAGTTAAAGTATGATAGGGGAGGACAAGATAGTGTGGAGGAAATCGGGTTTCAACAACGACGAATCCTGACTCGGCTAAAACCTGAAGAGTACGCGTGTCCGGATACCGTGGGCCCCGCGGGTTACGGCCTAGCACTTACTAGAGATCCCATTCGCACAAATGCTCGTTTCCAACTTGGTGTGGAAAATCGGGGAGCCTCGATCGCCGGTATCAGGAGAGAGATTCATTCTCCAGATACTCCACGTACTCACGGTCTTTCAAACAGTCTCGATCTGATATGAGGAAAGGAACAGCAAACTCCATGCTATGAGCTTACATTCACGCAATCATGTTCTGGTTAAGCGAAGTGCATCGTATCCCAGTCTGAATACACGATCGTCCTTCTCCTTGGTTGGAATTGGTGTATACGCACGGGCGCACAATCGGCCGGATCCACTATCTTCCTTCAGTTTTTGCAAGCTAAGGTTCTATCATACATCAGGTTTCCAGTCATCGACAAGGACCATGCACATGAGGTTGAGACCATTGATCCACAATCATCATTTACCATATCGTCCATAAAGCCAAAACAACGATGAAGGGAATTCCGCAAGAAATTGGACAATCGTGTGGAAAACAAATCTGAAATTCTGAGGACGACAACAAAAAATCAACAAGGCCGAAAGTCAAAATTTCCAGAAGGCAAGAAAAAGAGAGAGAGATAAAGAGAGGTCCCACACCACCCCCAACGCCCCGCTAACTCTCACTGCTTCATCATCAACCTCCTTACTCCGATGCAGGCAGTCCGTCGCCTCGCACCTACCATCAACTCAGAGTTGTCACCCCGCTTAGCTCGAGTACGCAAGCCAGGTTCGCCCGTACCCCACAGTCCGGCGCGGCCGCACGTCAACCCCGCACACTCACCGCCAGCTCGTCGGATCGCCCAACTCCAAACTCACCTTCACACATGCTTACACTCGCTAGCCGATCCCCTCGATCGCACTAACTCCTCAAGTTTAGATTAGAGAGTGATTTTGTCGCGCTTGCGAGATTTATAGCAATTAACGTCTGCGCAAGATACCCGGGATTGCGTTGGGGTAGGAGGGAGGAGAAGGGAAGGAAGTGCCTACGGTCGGCATGCTTGGGCCGTGACGTGGGGGACCTAGCCACTCTCCACGCATCGATCCAGTCATGCATCGTTCTGGCCAATAAGACGAAGGGGACAAGGCTGCATGTTTCGGCGTGAAAAGAAGTCAAGAGAGAGAGGATTACAGTTACACCTCCACTCGCCAAGAAAGGAGAAGGAAAGAATTACAATTGAGATTAAGGCGCAGTGGGAAGAGAGTGCGACATAGAGCGTAGCAAGGCGTGTGCAAGTGAGGAAAAGTGTGCAATTACGATTACAGCTAGACAAAAATTACGGTGTGCCCAAAATCCTAGTCTGATTAAAGTCCTAATTACAGAGAAAATTTCGAATATTCGCACAATCGTCCACACACTCTCCTATGGATTCGAAAATCCAAAACGATTTTCCCCCGCATCACAATGGCGCCAAAGTTCCTCCGCGCGAATTCCAACAAAAAGGAAAAAGGCCCATCAACCGTTATCCCTGCGCTCGTTGAGGCGCGTCCTAACCATCGACAATTGTGGGACCAATTTTCTTGTAAAACAGAAGGAAGGGAAAAAGAATGAGGGCATCCATGTAATTAATCCCCGAGCCTACCCGACCACCCCAAGGTTCATATCGCGCAGGAAGTCGCATCAAAAAATTGTTCGTCACAGTCCTTCCCCTCCTCATCACATTCCGCCTCCTGCCACTCCTGATGCTCCTTTCACTCGTCGTCTTCCCCCTCCTTTCACTCCTCCTCCTGCCACTAGCGGAGTCTTTCCACTGATCGTCCTCCTTTTTATCATCCTCCCTCTCCTCCCTCCTCCCTCTAATCATCCCGCCCTTCCGCTCCTCCTCCCATTCACTGTCCTCCGGCAGCTCGTCGTCTCCTCCTCCTACTGCTTATCATCATGTCCTCAACGTCCCGTTCCTCTCCTGCTCCTTTCCTCCTCCCATTCGTCAGCCTCACCCTCCCCTCCTCCCGCTCCGCCTCCTGGTGCTCCTCCTCAAGTTCACTGTTCTCCTCCTTTTCGTTCATTGTCCTCCTTCCGCTCGTCGACGTTCCTCTCCTGCTCCTTTCCTCCTCCCACTTGTCAACCTCATCCTTCCGCTCGTCATCCTCCCATCCTCCCTCTCCGCCTCCTGGCGCTCCTCCTCAAGTTCACTGTCCTCCTTTCAGTTCACTGTCCTCCTCCTTCCGCTTGTTGTTTCCCCACTTCTCCTCCTATCGCTGGTCATGCCTCTTGGCGCGCCCCCAACTCACTGTCCTCCTCCTTTCAGCTCATTGTCCTTCTTCCAGTCATTGTTTTCCTCCTCCTCCTCCTGTCGCTGGTCGTCCTCCCCCTCTTCCTCCCTCACCTCTTCCCGCTCCTCTTCCCCCTACTCATCCTGCCCTTGCTCCCCCTCCCACTCCTCGCGCTCCTCATCCTTGCCCCTGCTCCCTCTCCTGCTCCTCATCCCTGCCCCCCCTCCTCGTCCCAATGAAACGAAAGACGGGGCCCCGCCCACCCGACCCAAGTGCCAACATAACGAAACGCCATCATGCCAAAGAAACTCGGGCACCCCGGGACAGTGCACCCTCGTGGGCCAACATAACGACACGACCCCGCCGCACCAAAGAGGGCACACTCCAAAAATTTGGGACCCCCCGGGACAGGCCGCACCCCACCGGTACCACCTCCCATCCGGTTTTTTGTTGGGCCCACATGGTAGCGTTACGCGAGGACCACTTTTTTTTTCAGGAGTGTTAAGGAAGAAGATCACAACTGCAATCATGTTTTTTTACTTTGAGAAGGCATATGACCAAGTAAACTGGGATTTCCTCCATACATGCATGGAAAAGAAGGGAGTAGGACCAAACTTTTGCAAGTTGGTGAGAGTTCTTTACAATGATGCACAAGGAATTGTCCAAGTGGCTTCGTTTCCAACCCGTACAAAATGACAAGGTCGGTAAGGCAGGGCAACCCATTGGCTGCATCAATCTTTCTCTTCATCATGCAAGGCATAGCAGTCTTCCTTAGAAAGGATGATTACATAGAAAGACACAAGAATAACAAAAAATAACTGAAAGACAGAAGCACTTCAGCTACAGAGAGCACTGCCATTCATGTATGATCTGAAAATAGTAAAATATTCACCAGAGCTTCTAATACCTCCTTACCAAGCATTGACCAAGGCAATGCAAGCCTTCCAGTTAGCCTCGGAAATAAAAGTTCATTGGTCAAAAACAATCAGATTGTGGCTCTTTGACTGATAGCAATCACCCCAGAAGGAATGCAATGGGCAAACCCTTTCTTAGGAATAAGTTTAAGCACAAAAGGGTTCCACCCTACATCGGCAGCTTCCTTAAACCACCAGTACCTCGTTCAGCTATCAAGTCCGAGGCTCTGACTACCGGTAGCCCGATCTTTCCCGGGCCTTTCACTTTTTTGTTGAGCCTCGGACAACCAGTAGTACATCACCGAAAAATAAAAAAAGTAAAAAAACACAAAAACATATACAATATTCAGCAAAAAAAAACAAAACAAAAAAAAGGTAATACGGGTACGCCCAACGAGAAGAAATGTGCAAAATGAGAATGAACTTGGCGCCAGAACATGGTCAGCTGCGCCCACGCTTCCTTTTGTTTTGATTCTCTGTGTGTGTGTGTGTGTGTGTGTGTGCGTGTGTGTGTGTGTGTGTGTGTTACATGCCCATTTGGGCGATGTACATAATAAACCGAGGAGCCGCAATGTCATAAAAAAGACGGAATGGACAATGCAGTGCAAGTGGAATCTCAACAAGCAATGT